GCGGGCGCGGCAGTCGGCGTTCAGGCGGCGGCGGCGGACGCGGCTGACGGCGCAGCCGGCGTCGATGCCGCATCGGGCGCGCCCGGCCTGCATCCGCGGACCGAGGCTGCCCTTGCACGCAAACGAGCAAAGTTTGCATCGGCCCATGAGTCGGGCGCGCTGCCACCGGCGGTCCCGCCGAGTGGCGACGCGGCCGCCGAGCTCGACGAGATCGAGGCCATCGGTGCCGAGCTCTGGCCGGCTTCGGCCGAGGAGGACTCGGAGAACGGTGCTGCGCGCCAGTCCCAGCCAGCCACGACGGATGTTGATCCGCCTGGGTTGCCGCCGACGCTGGCAGCTCCAGCTCCGCCGCCTCCGGGCGCATCCGCGGCGTCCGTGGCGGCTGGCTGCGGCGCGGCGCAAGAGGCGCCGTCGGATGCCGTCGCAGCATGGGGCGTCAAAGCAGATGCAACGCCTGCGCCACCAGCGGGCGCGCCCATGCCCGATCCATCGAGTGCCGAGCCCGACGCACCAGCGCCGGCTGCAGCGATGTCTGCCGTAGAGTCGGCCGTTGCCAGGTTAACGTCGGAGACCGAGACCGCGGCGGAGCCGTCGCCGTCCGCATCGCAGTCGCATCGGCCCACGTGCCGAGCCAGGACCTTGCGCCGCCAGCGACTCCAGTTGACCCCCCCACGAAGACGGGCGACTCGGGGACCGCGGCCGCCGCGGCGGCGCCCCCCACTGACACTGACTGCCCCGTGCCCGCAGCAGCCGAGAGCGCGGGGATGCCGCAAGCAGTCTACCTCGCGACGACGGGCGACTCGGGGACTGCGACCGCCGCGGCCGCCGCGGCGGCGGTCGCCCCCGCTGACTGTCCCGCAGCGCTCGCAGCTGTAGCAGCCGAGAGCGCGGAGCTCCCGGAGTCGCCGCGTCCAGTCGGCCCCCCGACGACGGGCGACGCGGAGGCCGCGGCCGCTACGGCCGCCGCGGCGGCGGTCACCACTGACACTGACTGCGCAGACTGCCCCGCAGCAGCGCCCCCCGCCGCAGCGGCCGAGAGCGCGGGGCCGCCGCGACCAGTCAGCCCCCCGACGACTGGCGACTCGGAGACCGCGGCCACCGCGGCGGCGGCCCCCACTGGCCCCGCTGAGACTGACTGCCCCGCAGCCGCAGCAGCCGAGAGCGCGGGGCCGCCGCGCCCAGTCGGGCCCCCGACGACGGGCGACTCGGAGACCGCGGCCGCCGCGGCGGCGCCCCCCACCCCCACTGACACTGACCGCCCCGCAGCCGCAGCAGCCGAGAGCGCGGAGTTGCCGCAGGCAGTCGACCTCGCGACGACGGGCGACTCGGAGACCGCGACCGCCGCGGCCGCCGCAGCGGCGGTCGCCCCCGCTGACTGTCCCGCAGCGCTCGCAGCTGCAGCAGCCGAGAGCGCGGAGCTCCCGGAGCCGCCGCGTCCAGTCGGCCCCCCGACGACGGGCGACGCGGAGACCGCGGCCGCTACGGCCGCCGCGGCGGTGGCCCTCACCGACACTGACTGCCCCGCAGCAGCGCCCACCGCCGCAGCAGCCGAGAGCGCGGAGCCGCCGCGACCAGTCAGCCCCCCGACGCCGGGCGACTCGGAGACCGCGGTCGCTGCGACCGCCGCGGCGGCGGCCGCCCCCGCTAACTGCCCCGCAGCAGCGCCCGCAGCCGCAGCGGCCGAGAGCGCGGAGCCGCCGCGTCCAGTTGGCCCCTCGACAACGGGCGACTTGGCGACCGCGACCGCTGCGGCCACCGCGGCGGCGCCCCCCGCCCCCGCTGGCCGCCGCCCCGCAGCGCCCCCTGACGCGGCAGCCGAGAGCGCGGGGCCGCCGCAGCCAGTCGGCGACGCGATGACGGGCGCCTCGGAGAACGCGGCCGTCGCGACGGAGGCCGCGGCGGCCCCCGCTGACAGCCCCGCCGCGCCCCCGGCCGAAGCAGCCGGCCGCGCGGCGCTGTCGGTCAGCCTCCCGACAGCGCTCCGCCCGGGGGGGGCGAGGCTCCTGGGCGATGTGGGCGCTCCTTTGCCGCCGCAGCCATGCACCTGGAGCTCCTTCAGCGACGCGGGGGTCGGCATGGGGCCACTGACAGGGCCGCGCCCGCACGTGGTGCGGTCGCTCGACGACCTCATGAGTTGGGCGCACGACGCCCTATCCAGCCTTGCGCGGGCCTGCGGGCGACGCATCTTGCTGGACATCCACAAGGCCTTCGAAGACACAACGTACACCACGGCGTTTTCAGGCGTGGACGCTCCGGGGACGGCTGCGAACGTCATTGGCGCTACGCTCAATGACATGGTGGGCCACCACGCGGGCCGTCTTGATCCGATGCGCCATTTGGCGTCGACGGAGCTGCTGGAGGAGTGCAATCGCGAGCTGGAGCTAGAGGCGCCTTCCAGGCCCGCGCCAGAGCACATGTTCTGCGACATTGAGGACTTTTGGAACCCTAGCCTACGCCAGCAGATTCTTAACTCTCAGAGGATCCCGTTCAGCACGTTTGAATCGATCATCAAGAAGCCGGGATGCGTGCACCTGGTGGCGAAGTGTCGTATCTGCGGCGGACGCTGTCGACACCCCACAGGCAAGCTGTATACCGGCGGCACGCCGTGCATCGACTGGCGCCCGGGAGGTGCCCGTGAGCGAGACGAGGGGAAGACGTCATCCGTCTTGGCCGTCTGGATCGCGATGAGGATCAATATACAGGAGGCGTGCATCGTGCATGAAAACTCGCACCGCTTCGACCTGCAGGTGCTGGAGCGCACTCTAGGGCACATCTACTGCATTGTCAGCCACATGCGGATCTCGAACCCACGGACCTCGGATGGCCGGTGCGCCGCCAGCGGCGCTGGACGATCTTGCTGCACAAGGCTCACGCGATTGAAGCTCGTTGCACCCTCGATAATGTCATCAGGCTGTTCCACAGGCGCCGCCGCTGCACCTTCAGAGCGTTCCTCATCGCCGACGATGCCGAGCAGGCGGGCGAGGTTTATTGGGCCCGTCGTCGCAAGTCGAGTCAGTCACACGACCCTGCTATCACGCTGGAGTCCTGCATGGAGATCGTCGCCAGCGTGCCCGGGGCGTTCCGCAGCAGCCTTTCGCCGTGGGAGTTGGATAACCTGACGTCCTACGAGGAGAAGTCCGCGGCTAGGGGCGAGGCAGGCTGCGTGCATAGCCTCATTCAGAACAGTCAGTGCGGGCCCAGGGGCGTCTCATCATGTCCGGAGGTTCTCTACTCGATCATTTCGAACCCGTCGTTGCACTACGCGTCGGGGAGCGAGCGTTGGATGACCCCCATGGAGCTTCTCGTTGCCCAGGGGTTCCCGGTGAGGCCCGAGCTCGCTACGCCGCGTTCGAGCGCGCCGCGGCGCCTCTGCAGCTTCGCCATCGCTCGCGAGGGTGGCGCTGGAAGGAGTCGCAACGCCATCCTTATGCAGGCGGGGAACTCCATGAACGTCAACGTTGTGGGCGTCCACCTGCTCTACCTCTTGGGGTTCGTTACGCGGGTCGACCAGGTGGGCGGCTTGCGATCCATTGCCAGTGCCATGAGCTGGCCAGATTCAGAGTGAGGGCCGTGTACTCGCATTGTCAGATCGCCCTGGTGGGGCTGTGCTTTGTCTGTCAGCCCAGCCATTCATTCGTAGAGCGCGTGTGCTACATGATAGGCACATCGCAGTAGTTAGATGGCGAGGACATTGGCATTGGAGTTGGGAAGAGTTGAGAGGACACTGTATTGGGATAGGCTGAGGGGGGGGGCGGGGGGGTTCTGGCTTGCCGCGGGGCTCCTGCGTGTCCAACGTGCTCCAGGCCCCGATCGGACCGAGACCAGACCGACGGAATCCAAGTCTGCCCGGGGGTCCCGAGGGCCTGTTTCGGGCCCGCGCCGCCTGGCACCTTGGCTTTGATTGCGTATCTCGGTGCCTCCGCGGGGCGCGTCCAGTTTCAGTCTCGGAGACTCGGAGACTGTCAGTCTCAGTCTCGGTCTTCGGCGGGGCTCGGGCCCGCGGTCACTTTGTGAAGCTTTCTTCCGACCGGAGCTCGCGTGCAATATACGACGCTGCCGCTTATTCAGGCTCGCCCCTCTCAGAGCCCCTTGCGGGGTCGCACGCATGCTGCTTCATGTCGCAAGGGGCGACTCGAGATTCCGAGGCCATGCGACCGCGAGTGCGCACCCATGTCATTATCATCACTGTTGTTGTTGGACGTTGGACGCCCCCTCCCCCTCCCTCGCTCACCCGCCCTCTCCGTCTCACCCTCCGTCTGCCCACGCTCCATCCGCCGCCTGGACATCGGCATTGGCATGCGGCGTCGACGGCGGGAGACGGCGTCGAGCTGCGTCGGCGACGGCCAGAGACGGCAGCGTTGAGATCGGCGACCGACGACGACGCTGGACATCATGACATCGGCAGCGACGGCAGCGACGACGGACGACCTCGCCCCCCCCCCCGCTCCCGCGCCGCAAGGGCGGCGGCGTTGCTGCTGGAGCTGCCCGCGGAGCTCGGTGGCGGCGGCGGCGCCGGCGCCTGGGGCTGCACGACGCGCGACGGCGTCGCCGCCGCCCGTCCCGTCGCCGTCACCGATACCTAGCGCCGTCGCTTCACTATCGCCGTCCAGCGCCCTGTCCTCCTCCTCCTCCTCCTCCTCGTCCTCCTCCTCAGCCTCCTCCTCCTCATCCTCATCCTCATCCTCCTCTTCCTCGCCCTCCTCCTCCTCCTCCCCCGCCCCGTCTGCCGTCGTCGTCGTCGTCGTCGGCCGTGCCATTCGATGCGACCGTAATGTGTTGCGCTGTGTTGCCCCAGTGCCCATCGCCCCATGGCCCATGGCCCTCGCATCGCCAGCCCGACATTGCGAGTCCGACAGCCAGCCTACCAGCCGCACGCTGTGTCACAGGTGTCCCCGTGCCCTCCCCACATTCCCGTGGCCCGTACGGCTCAAGCTTGCGTCTTTCGCGTTGTGCACGCCGTCTAGCTTCGCGCGCTTCTGCCCCGGGCCACGCTTCCAGCTATGCGCCGCGCCGCTCCCGCAGCATCCAAGGCCCAGGCGAAGGATCGGCGCGTGGATGACAGCTGCTCGGACTCGGACATCCAGGGCCAGCCCGGTGCTTCGGCGCCCCGCGCCGCGCCAGGGCCAGCAGGGTCGGCGTTTGCCGGCGGCGGCAGCCGCGGCGGCCGCGGGCGTGGTAGGGGACAGGCGGGCCGCGGCGGTCGCCGGGGCAAGGGCATCGGCAAGGGCGCCGATGCGCCCCGCGGCGACGAGCCAGGGGGCGGGCCCAACGCTGGCGCGCGTGACGCCGAGCCGTGGGCCGTCGCGCCCGTGCCAGTCCAGGTGGGTGACGCCGTTGACATGCACAGCCACCTGTACAAACCCTGCGAGTCCATCGAGATGAGATTCCTTGGGCTGAACAGGGTCGCGCTCCAGGATGCCGTGTTCAACGTCTACACCGCCCCCGGCAAGCGCGGGATCACTGTGCCTTGGTACGATTCCAATGGGGACAAGACCATGGTCCCGCACATCCAGAACGAGCGCAAACAAGATCAGGTCGTGCAGGAGTGCGCCGAGAAGGTCGCCGAGTTCGGGAACGTCCCAGGCGTGCGCGGGCAACCGTGGTGCACTCTCCACACGTCTGGCGGGTTCCCGCTGCAGATGCTCACGTACGGCACGCTCACGCAGGCCTTCTACCTCGCCGCCGACATGGAGCGCAAGGCCAACGTGTTCGAGGATGAGCCAGGCCCGGACAATGACTACATCGTAAATCCCTGCATCAAGTTGAGCTTGCAGAAGGGGCTGCCGAATGTCACTTGCTTCAACGCGGAAACTCCGCGCGACGTTGTTGACTGGCTAGTGAACTGGCATAACCATTGGCACTCAGGATCAAGTTTCACGGTGATCCAGCTGTTCGACTGGTGCAAAAAACTCAACACTGACTTCAAGGCGACCAAGTTGACCGACACGCCGTACGCTTCTTCGTGGGAGTATGCCTCCGCCAAGTACGCCACTACTGCGACTCGCAGGTTCAGCAGCGAGAACGAGATCAAGGCGTGCAAGGCAGCGTCTGCGCAAACGCATCGCCGACCCCCGCCGTCGCCCCCTCCCACCTACCTCGTCGCCGCCACCGTCGCGCCCGGGCCCCTGGGTCATCCGGAGCGTTCCGCCCCACCCACCCACCCTGTGGGAGAGGCAGGGTGGGGGGGAGGGGGCGACGGTACTGGGCGGGGTGCGCGTGGGGCCCGCCAGGCACTCTTGGGCACACTGAAGCGCCACCAGCTGCTCACTTGGACCGTGGAGTTTCTGGGTAAGTACTGCAAGTTCACGGAAGAGCGCTTCTCCAACGCCGCAGTGGTGTTCAATCTTCACGCCGTGTCGGTCGCATTGTTCAGTTCCGAGGTCCGCAGCGGGTTGTCCATGGAGCTCGTTGCAGAGATCTGGAAGGTGGCGGTGGAATTCATAGTTCCGACAGCAGGGCTGCCCGGGCGGTCCAAGCCGTGGCTCTTCGATGAATCGCAGATCGACATGTGTAAGTGACTCTCTGTTGACATCGAGTGTGGCGTGTCACACAGGAGAGCCAAGCAGCTCGCAGAGATGACCCAGCTTGCCGCTGAAACTGCCAAGGCCGACGCCCAGAAGGCAGCCGTGAATGCCGCCGAACTCGAGGCGCAGGGCGAGAATCCACCGCCTGCCAAGAAGCCCAAGGTCGCCCCTGCTGGCAGGCCGCCAGTGGAGTCGCTCACAGACCTTGAGATGCAGAAGATCTGGGTGGTCGACGCCGCCCTGTGCCTCATCTCGGCCATGTCTGACGCCGATCTCGACGACGATGGGCAGTGGGCGATTTTCCGTTCGCTGATGTCCATGGGGCTGGAGTTCTGTTGGGCCAAGGTCGTCCAGCTTGGTCAAGTTAAGTACACGAAGTGGTCCGAGCTCAGATGTAAGCTGCGCGACGTCGCTGCTTCCTCTGCGTACAATCTCCAGCTTGGCAACTCGTCTACGACGACGGCGTCCGACGTGCTCGAGTGGGATGCCGAAACGGACGGGCAGGGCGCGCCCGAGCCTCAGCCATCGGCCACATGTGACGAGCCCACCGCCCCCACGCGCCTGGAGTCCGCGATCGCTGCAGCAGGCGCTGAGCTCGATCGTTTCTTGATGGCGAACAAGCTGACCGCGCCGGCCAAGCTGCGCCCAGCGCACAGGTCCATCAACAAGCGGATGTTCGATCTTCTCGGCGAGTCCCAGGGGCAGCTTCTCGCCGACAAGTCACGGTCGGATGATGCTGGTCCGTTCGTTGCGCACCTTCTCGGCCTGATGACAGATATCTTGACGGCCGAGATCTCGGAGGCCATGCTTGGTATCGGGCAGCTTGCCGTCAGGTACGTGCGCCAGACGTCTCAACTGCCCGGCGTGGTCATGAAGTACTTCAAGGACACGCCCGCGCTGATCACGTTCGCGCGTCTCAGGGCAACGTACGCCAAGCTTCTCTTGACTGACGTCATGGACGTGCAGGAGATGTTCCACGATGCCACAGGCATGGGAGGTGCGGTCCAGGGGGCTGCTCCCGCTATCAAGCTGGAGGTCTTGAAGGGCTGCCTTGATAACTTGGACGGCCTGCGCGACGTGGACCCCATCTTGCCCTACAGCGACTGGGCGTCGGTGCATACAGAGTACCTGGTCGCTCTCTACATCGGCGCCGACCCCGACTCTACCTTGCGCGGGCTCGTGGAGTCGCGCAGGGTGCCCGGTACTCCCACGTCATCTGCGCCGTCTCCGTCGGGCGAGTCGTCGCAGGCGCCGACGTTTCAGGCGCAGACGCAGCAGCAGCCGCAGTCCTTCCATGTCGTGCAGCAGCAGATGACCACCGAGCAGCCGCCGCACCCGCTGGCGATGCTGCAGGGCGTGTACGCGTGCCGCCGGCGGTCCATCCAATGCCCCCCGCCCAGTCATCCTCCTCCCCCCTTCTCTCCCTCACCCCCTCTCCCGACCGTCGACAGCCTGAGCCGCCGATGTCAATGTCGACCGTCCGCCGTCTGCCGGGCCGACCGTCGTTTCTCCTCGCACACCCTTCCTCTTCCTTTCGTCCTCTGCGCCGTTGCCGCCGCCTGCTGCAGGTGCATGGGCGAGCGGGCAATGTCGCTCGCCGCCGGCAGCCCCATCAACCTGGACACGGTGCGGCGGGGCGGAGGAAGTGGGGGGTTCGGCGAGGGATGCTGGAGGTGGAGTGGACGACGAGGAGGAGTTGAGGAGGAGGGGAGGAGGGCCGCATGTGAGGGGGGCTCAGACTCAGGAGGAGAATGATGATGATATTGATGCGGAGACCCTCGGATGATGATGATGAGGAGAAGGAGAGAAGGAGAACATGAATGAGTTCCTCCCTTCTCCTCCCGATCGGTGAACATGTCTGATGATATAGCGGGCGCCACGATCACCTTCGACATGAGTCGCTTCCCGCCGGCGTGGTGGATCAAGCAGTTCCTGATGCTCGTGGAGGCGGAGCTCTACAGTAGGTCGTTCAGTGCCAGGGCGGTGGCGCCATCCGGCAGCACGCGCATGGGATGGGCGGCGCCGGCGCCGGCGGCTAAGGCGAAGGCGAAGGCGAAGCCGAACTTGGCCAAGGAGCACGAGAAGCCATCGATGACCGTCGCCTTGGACTCGGACTTCTCGATGTGCTTCTGCGGCCCCGTGACCTTGACAAGGCCGCCCGCAGGCCGCTCCTTCCCAGTGGCCGCCATCAAGGTCACTGCGCCTGATAGCCGGGACGACACCACCATCGGAGTGTACTGCGTCGCCGACACGGTGGGCACCGTGAACAATGAGTGCCCGTGCCCGGCGTGGCTTCTGCGCGTGGTGGACGACGACGACCAGGCGACCCTCGAGATGAAGGCCCAGGTGGTGACCATCGACCTGCCGCCCCACTTGGTGTTTGAGGGCATGGCGTTTTTCAAGCTGAAGTCCATCATTACAATCCTCACATCCTCACTCATCACCTCCCCTCTCTCTATAGATATGTATATCAGATCTATCTCTCTCTCTCTCTCTCGCTCTCTATCTCCCTCTATCTCCCTTTTTCCCTCTCTCTCTCTCTCGCTCTCTCTCTCCCTCTCTCTCTCTCTCTCTCTCTCTCCTCTCTCTCTCTCCTCCCTCTCTCTCTCTCTCTCTCTCTCTCTCTCTCTCTCTCTCTCTCTCTCTCTCTCTCTCTCTCCCTCCCTCCCTCCCTCCCTCCCTCCCTCCCTCCATCTTCCTCGCCCCCCCCACCCCAGCTCGGTTCTCGATCCTCGCCTCCTCATCGTGCTCCTCCCCCCTAGCTCCTGGGGTTTCCCCCTCACTAACCCGTCTCCACATCCTCCATCTCCCTCCTCCTCATCATTCCCCCTCCCCCCGCTGGTCCGCGAGCTCGTGCCGGTGCGCGCATTCGTCGGCAGGGAGGTCCAGCTCACGCGCCACGAGATCCCGACGGACCTCCCGCCCAAGCGCAAGGCGGCGCGCCACGCCAACGCGGCGCCGGCTGACGCCTCGGCGCTGTTCGGCCCGACGGCCGCGGCAGCCTACATGGCTGCGCACCCGGCGCGCCCGGGCTCGGCCACGACGCAGCAGCAGCCGGCGGCTGGGTCGCGGAGCACGAAGAACAAGGACTGCAAGCACTTGTTCGAGTGAGTGCGCCGCTGCGGCGCTGCGACGGCTGCGACCCGCCGTCGCGCCCGCGTGCCATGGGTGGTGCGCGGTGCCGGCGGTGGGGGCCCGCGCCTCGTCTCGTCTCTGCTTCGAAACGACGATGGGCCGATGATAGTACGATGTCGTACGACGATGCGACGATGCGTTACGACGATGCATCCGATAGGATACGACTACGATGAGACTGTCGGCAGTCCGAGTCATTCGATCGGAGCGGTCCCGCGTATCGAAGCAGTGTCGAGCGGCGGCGGAATCTGGCAGATCTGCCGAAGCGTGAATTCATCATCGTAGCTGCAGGGCCGCAGCTACTATGCGTCGGCGCGCAGTGCAGCGCGATCTCGCACAGCAGCCGGGGAGTGGCTGCCCGTGCGCGGCGCGACGCCTGCCGCTCGGGAGGCGGCGGCCTCGGAGCCTCTGAGACTTATAGGGAGGAGATGAGATGATGAGATGGAAGAGATGATGAGGACATGATGAGGACTGAACGAGGCTCATGCTCAGCTCAGCCGCTGTGACACTGTGTGTCTGGCGTTGTGGGGGCGCGCGCCTTAAATAGCGCCCCCGGCGCCCCCGCGCCACAATGACAGGGGCCCCGCGTGCCGAGACGGCAAACGGATCGCCTGCTCAACGTGGTTGGGTTGATGAGGACACACAGGGGTAGGATTATGAGTTTGAAGATGAGGGGTCGCATGAGGAGGATGATGAGCACGATTACGATGATGATGATGATGGGGAACGAGGCGTACGAGGATAGGGTGAGGATGGGGGTGGGATGAGGTTTTCAACAAGTGGGGTGATGCAGGTGAGCAGTGATGAAGAGGAGGATGCGGACGACGAGGGATGAGGTGGCCGCGCTCTCGTCCTCGGCCCTCTCCCTCCTACCCCCTGCCCCCCTCGCCCACAGTCCGGCGCCCACCTCTCTACTACTCTACTTCCTTCTCATCCCCTCACTCCCCACTCGTCGCCCACCGCCCCACCGCCCTTTCCATTCCACTCCCCCCCCCCCTCCCCTTCCTCCAACACCCCCCCCCCCCACCTCCCCTTGGTCCTCAACGCCTCAGAGCATCTCCTCATCTCACCCCCCCCACCGCGCTGCCGCCACCAGGCGGGGCGCGCCTGGCGGCTGGCGCCGGTGGCAGCGGCAGCTTGCCGCGCCCGCACTGCCCCGCTGAGCAAAAAATGATGCTCGAGGGGGGGGGGGTGGGCGTCGACGGCGGCGTCGCCGTCGTCCATCCCGCCTCGTCGTCGCCCCTCGTCTCTCCCCGCGCCTCCGTATCCGCTCACTCCAACTCCGCTCGGCCTCTTCCGTATCCTCCGTGTATCTAGAGCCGTGCTATGCACGTCGGCGCTCCAGCCAACCTCATTGCTGGGCTGTGTAACGTCCACTGTATTGCATGTCATTGTATTGGTATGTAGGCATTGAGACCACATTTCTGCTAAGTAAAAACGTCCACTTCACGGATCGTTGGTTTCACAACATCGCTAGACTTGAAAGTTAGCAGAGGAGGAGGAGGAGGAGGAGGAGGAGGAGGAGGAGGAGGAGAAGGATGAGGAGAGGATGAGGAGGAGGAGGAGGAGGAGGAGGAGGAGGAGGAGGAGGATGAGGAGGAGGAGGAGGAGTAGGAAGAAGAGGAGGAGGAGGAGGAGGAGGAGGAGGAGCGGCTCCGTGGCCTCGTCGACTTCCGCGCCGGTCGCTCCCATCTGAATGAGCGCCCTGGCCATGCCCAGCTCATCCTGCGGGGGAGGCTAGCAGCATACCGATGCCGCCTGGTTGTTGGCCTGCTTGGCCTTCCTGGGGAGCCCTCGTCGCCACGTCTGCACTCGCCTGGAGTAGGGGCCTCCCAGATGGGGTCGGAGTAGATCGGGTGGGCGGATGGCGCCCCATCGACGATGCATCCCCATCGACGATGCATCACCGAGGAATCGGCGATGCAGCTCCACATCGAGCCGCCCCCCATCTGCAGTCAACCCGGATCATCAGGACGCACGATGATAAGGATGCAAGGGCCTTGGTAGGCCATCTCGAGGCTTTTCGAGCGGGGCGCGGCCAACGAGAGTGGCCAAGGATGGGCCGAAGAGGGAAGCATGCAAGGGTAACCTTGGTAAGGCTGCTCATCCTGACCACGCGGGCCGTCTGTGCTCCGACCCCATCTGGGAGGCCCAAACAGAAGCCCTGACCACAGTGCAACCCAGGAGAGGCCCGGGGCGTGGCGGCACCTGGCGTCGTGCTGTGCCGTGCCCCACGCGTCCTGCCGCGCGAACGCGAGGGACAGGTCGTTCACGGCGCCCCATATCCGCGGCGGGATGCGGCCGACGATGCCGAAGTCGATGAAGCCGACGCGGCCGTCGGTGAGCACCAGGAGGTTGCCCGAGTGCACGTCCGCGTGAAAGAAGTCGTTGAGCCGCACCGAGAGGGCCCAGACGTTGAGCGCGTCGATGAGCGTCTGCTCCGGGTTGGAGCTGTACTGCCGGATCCCCTCCAGGTCCACGAGGGGCGCGCCGCGGAGCCGCTCCATGGTGAGCACCCTCGCGGACGAGGCCTCCGGGTATGGCAGCGGCGCCGTCGCGATGCCGCTGAGGCCGTTGGCGTCGAGGAACTCGCGGAACTTCAGCAGGTTGGCCTGCTCCTGCCGGAAGTCCAGCTCGCCTCAGCTTGGGGGAAGCGGGCCCAGAGGGACACGGGCCCTGGACCCTTGTGCCTTCCCCCAGGACGAGCTCTTCCTCCGGAGCCGTTTTCCCTGACAGTCCTGGGGCCCGTGGAGGGCCCCGAGGAGGCCTAAAACTGGGGGAACAACCAACGACATAAACATGAAAACTCGGAGGTCCGCGCAGATTCCTCGGATCGGCGCTGGGGCCCTCCTGGCGGCGCCTGCGGCGCCGCCCCTGGCGCGCTCCGCGCGCCAGGGACGGGGGTTCCCAGCGCCGATCCGAGCAATCCGCGCGGACCTCCGAGTTTTTATGTGTGTGGACGCCATGGCAATGGACACTCTAAGAATCCGATCATTGAATTAAAGATGTGTTTACCATGTTTTCAAAGCTCTACATATATCACAACATTGAGACATGTTTGAAACATGTTTTATACATCTGGAAATGCTTCGGCAGCACGCTTCTTCCTCTCCATTGATCGACTTCCACCATTTGATGTTTGGCCCAGCGCTTGTCTCCCCAATAGCGGCGAAAAGCCTCAGGACCCACTGCCCTCAGGACCCGCTCCCCCCCCTGGCGGTCGCCCAGCATCGACTCCCGGATGTCGCCGGCGATGTCCGCGAGGGAGGAGCGGCCCAGGTCGGGCGCCAGGAACTGCAGCACCCGCGCGGAGGCGTAGAGGAAGCCGAGGTCGGCCTTCAGCACGTCCTCGATGCCCGGCTTCTGCACCTCTCGGGCGCGCCGACGGTCCCCAGGCCCCCTCTCGGGTAATGAAAACAGAGCATGGCGGGAGGCCTGCCGCTGTTTTCGGCCTCTGGGGGCTCTCGCCGGCCCTCGGGGCCGTCCACAAAACGACTCGGGATGCAAAACCAGTCCTGGGGAACGGGTCCAGACTCCTGGGGGTCGACAAATCATGACGGCGGGGGCAGAGATCGGTGCACAAGGGCCTCCGTTTGCTGCCCCGAGGTGGCGCGTTTGTATGTTTAGTCTCGTGAAAAAAAAACTCCAGCGAAGAAGTCCTGTGGCGAAGAAGCAAGGACGGGGGGGCAGGGAGCGGGGAGAAAAGGGGGGATCAACGCGCGCGGCTCGCCGTTCGAAAGGGGGGGCCCAAGAACACGCAAATAGATACGCACAAAGCCAGGGCACCCCCATCCTTTCCATGGTTCCTAAGAGTTCGTCTACCACCCCACTTCAAATATTTTACCATAATCAGCGGTCCAGTGTGTCTGTGATGTGTCCCCTTCTGAGAATCATGCGCCCCAGGGGGGATCGACGTTATGGAAAACATCAGAACGTCGCATGTCGGGGTCAGGGGAGGGGAGCAGCAGGAGGCCTCCCGAAGACCCCCCCCTCTCGTTCGGCCCCCTGCTTTTGGGGACGCCCGCTGCCCGCGCCCCCCTCCTCTTCAGGGGGGGCGGCAGGAGGAGGAGGAGGAGGAGGAGGATTAAAAGGAGGAGGAGGAGGATTAAAAGGAGGAGGAGGTGGAGGAGGAGGATGAAGAGGAGGAGGAGGAGGATTAAGAGGAGGAGGAGGAGGATTAAAAGAAGGAGGAGGAGGATTAAGAGGAGGAGGAGGAGGAGGAGGACAAGGACGGGGGCAGCGCGCCGTGGCCCGAGGCAGGTGCGCGGACGCGAGGGGGGCAGCGGAGGTGCGGAAAGACCTCCCCCCCTCGTGAGGATCGGCCCTGAGGAGGAGGGAGGGAGGGAGGGAGGGAGGGAGGGAGGGAGGGAGGGAGGGAGGGAGGGAGGGAGGGAGGGAGGAGGAGGAGGAGGAGGAAGAGGAGGAGGACGACGACGAGGAGGAGGAGGAGAAGGCGGAAGAGAGAGCGAGGATCCTGAGAGGGGTGATGGAACCTGGGACATCTCATGACCCCAGCAAGGATGTACAGCGCTCCCTAGCCCTCACCCCCGAGGAGAATAATAGCCGTGTTGGGAGGAAGGGGTTGGGAGGATGAAAGGGCATGAGCGACAGCATCCGGAGGCGGTGAACGATCCCTCCGGCCGCCCACGGGCAACGATACCCTCACTTCACCCAGCCCATCCTCCCATTCCCGATCCTTGTGTTCCCGAGCCCCCGTGTTCGGCGCCGCCGAACCTTCACCACCACGTCCTCCCCGGTCGCCAGGGTCGCGGCGTGGACCTGAGCGATGGACGCCGTCGCTAGGGGCTCCTGCTCGAAGCGGCGGAAGACCGCGGAGAGGGGCCGTCCGAGGTCCGCCTCAACGATCTCCTTGACCTTGGGGTAGGGCACCCTCTCCTGCAGGGGCCCAGGGGCACAGACAAATCAGCAGACGCAAGTCCGGGGATCCCCCACATGGCTGCAGATTTTCGGGTTACGTCTGTCCCATCTCTTCCTGGGGATCGACGGTTATATATGTCTGTGTGTGTGCGTGTGTGTGTTTCACTCCTGGTCTCCGTCTGGTCGAGTGTGTTCGCGAACTCCCGCACGTAGGCCGCTGGGAAGATGGTGGGCGTGGAGGCAACGGCAGAAGAGGGGAGGACTGTGTATGCATGGAAGGTCGGCGGTCCGCGCGGATTTCTCGGATCGGCGCTGGACCCCCTCCCTGGCGCGCGGAGCGCGCGGGGGGGGCGGCCGGGAGCGGCGCCAGGAGTCCCCAGCGCAGATCCGAACCAAAGCATTCTTGCGGGGGCGTGAGGTTATCCAAAAGTGATCTTTAGGCAGTTCTGCGGGGAGAGCAAGCGACCGCAACCACGTCGAGAAGGCACCCTGTTGTTCTTGCGCATGCCAGCCACCGCCAGAGCACCAACACCAGCTCATTACTGGTTGTGTTCGATGCTAGCGTCCCAGGCGGCCAAATCGACCACACCCACAAGCAGAGTGCTCGTGTCGAGGTCGGTGGGAGAACAAAACGCACAAGCATAAACATTCGACGGGCCGCGCGGATGTCTTGAATCTGCGCTGCCGCGCGGACCATGGAACGTTGATGTTTATACCCTTTCTTTTGCTTCGTTTTCTTCATCGAGCTCTTCCCTCTTCCAGATGAACTGTCCCAGCTTGATATAGGTCGCCCCGAGGCGCTCGAACAGCCTCCGCAGGGACCTCTCGGGGATCTGCTAACCAAGGTCAATCAGACCCGGGTCAGCAGGGAACAAAAGAACTGCAGGGCCGGACAAAAAACTGCAACGCAGGGCTTCGCAAACCAGGGTCAGCCAATATGCGTGGCCGCCTCGCGGCCACGAGCGGCTCGCTAACCCGGGTCAGCCAGAGAGGGTCTTCGCAGGATCCTGCAGGATCCGGAACCCTGGCTGAGCCCCGTTTGAATTGACCCCTGTCTCAATGCATCTGACTACCTACCAGACCATCCCAACCCAACCCGAAGACCCGAATTTGACCCGAATTTCGGGTTGGGGGGGGTACGGGTTCCATGTGTTTTTTCAATGTTCCCCGACCCCCCCCACTGGAAATCGAGGATAAATTTGGGCCTTCGGGTTGGGTTGGTGTGATTTGGTGGGTGGTGAGCATCCGAACCTCGCGACGACAGCCTCGTCTGGCGGCCCGCCCCCCTGCAGCAGCGACGGCACGTCGAGGTCCCGCAGCAGCTCGGGCAGCGTCTGCGCCACGGCCTTGGAGGCCTGCAGCCCGCGGCGGAGCCCAGCCTTCCACCCGGTGGAGACGGCCACCTCAGAATGAGGAGGCAACTCTTAAGTCGGGCATGTCCCTGTACAGGAGGAATGTTCAAAAAAGACCCCAAAAAATAATATGGGAACGATTGTCTTAGTATTGTTTGCCTATTTTGGGATCTGTCTTGACTATTTTGATGTTTTCGCCCCAAATCCGCCTGTAGGGGGACATGCCCGACCTAAGGCAACTCCTGGGAGGTCATCGTCGGAACGATTCAGGGCGACTGGGCCTAATGCGGGGGCCAATCTCGCCGGACACGGCCAAGGAGTGAGCCAGATTGAGCAGGACGGGGCCAGATGAGGCAGGAGCAAGCGGGATTCAGCTGGCTCGGGCGATAGTAAGGATTCGACCACAGTGCCGACCCGGAACCCCCTTGACTTCCCAGGAGTTGCATCCTGGCCAAGGGGAAGGCGCTGGCATCCCCGCGCGGTGAACAAGACCACACCGCAAGGTCTCCGGCCGTCTTCGGCTTCTGGGGGCCGAGGGCCCAGGACCGTTTGGTCGGGCACGTCCTCCTACGATAAAAATAGCCAAACATATTCAAACTTGCTTGTCTACTTATTCCTTTTTTCTAATATTTAAATCGCTTATGAAGAACAGGCTCCAAACTATCTTCTTCTATGTGTGAGTATTCCTCCTGCAGAGGGACAGGCCGGTGCTAAGCTTAGAGACCAGCAACAGGCCGACCCGGGGCGAGAAGCCCGCCCCCCGCAGGGAGAGCCCGAACGAGACACGCTGCCGGGGGGAGCCGCGCGGCGCAGCACGAGGCACGGCCTATCGACGTCGGAGAGGGGGGGCGTCGCCTGCACCTTTGGCGCCCATCCTCTGGCCAGGGGCCCGGGCGGGGCCCGAGATCCCAGACCCCCTCGCGTCGTGAAGAGATCACGGCGGGAGGATTTTCCTCATCTTCGGCCTCTATAAGGGCCGTTGCCGGCCCCCGGGGCCGTCAGCAAAACGACCCTGGAGTCCTTGGGGATGGATCGAGACTCCTGGGGGCCGACGTTACGAACAAAAACACGATGGGGGGCATCGATAGGGGGGGGGACTGGCATAGGGGGGGGCGCATCGACCTGGAATCGGCGATACATCGCCGATAAATCGGCGATTGGCTTCCGATAGCGAATCCGCACCTACCTGGGCAGGTTGGGGCTATCGGGCGCTATCGGGCCCCTATTGGCGATCAATGGGCGATTGGGGGTCGATGCGTTCCCCCCTGTGCCTATTCCCCTTATCGTTGCCCCCCCCCACACACACATGACGGCGGAGCCAGAGATCGGTGCACAAGGGCCTCCGTCTGCCGCCGAAGTGGCGCTTTCGTGCCTCCTTTCTCTTTGTGGCACGAACAGAAAAAAACAAAATCCAGCGAAGAAGCCCTGTGGCGAAGAAACAAGGACAGGGGGGCAGGGAGCGTGGAGAAAAGCGGGGGGTCCACGCGCGCGGCTCGCCGCCAGGCTGCGTGCACTGCACGAAGCCAAGGGCAGGGGGGGGGGGGGGGAGGCCAAAAACATACAAATACACACACAAAGCCCCGGGTTCCTAATCTTTTCCATATTTACTAAGGTTTCGTCTTTACCCCCCCCCACCTCCAATATTTTGCCGCCTTCTCCGGGAAATCGACGGTTCCTTGTCTCCGCGATTGTGCACCTCCTGCGACGCAGGCGCCCCTGGGCGGGCCCCCCCAGCGAGCCTGGGAGGGCCGCGGCTCGCCACGCCGCCTCGGGCCCGCACGCGCTGGAGACCCCCCCGGGGCCCCGGGCTGACTACCTACCAGACCACCCCAACCCAACCCGAAGGCCCGAATTTCGGGTTGGGGGGGGTAAGGGTTCCATACGTGTTTTTTCGACGTTCCCGGACCCCCCCCCCACTAGAAATCGAGGGTAAATCTGAGCCTTCGGGTTGGGTTGGGGTGGTTTGGTGGGTGGTGACGGGCTGGCCCGCGGGAGGGGAGGCGGTGCGCGCGTCCGGGGCCCTCCCGGCTTCGCCAGGGGGGCGTGCAGCACCCGGGCCACGCCGCCTCGGGCACACTTTGTAGGCAGCGGCCGCGGGCGAGCGCGCTGGCGGCGAGTCCAGTCAAAGCGGGGCACGCAGCGACAAATTCACCTAAAGCAACGGGGCGAAGCCTCACCTGAAGCGGCTAGGCGGGGCCTCACGCAGCATCTCAGCGGCGGACCGGCGAGTGGAGGGGGCAGGCTGAGAATGAGTCGTAGCGTGCAGGTCTGCAAGGCGTCGGAAGCGTCAGAAGAACGACGACAAGGGACAGAAGCCGAGTAATTAATGCATGGGCGCGAGACCCCGGACAACTGCGAGAGTACCGCCTCGGGCGCACGCGCAGGCCCTGGGCCCGGGGCTGGCCCCCCTCAGGGAGATCGGCGTGCGCATCCGATTGCTTTCCGAGAGAAGTCCGCTCCGCGATGCTGGCGCCAGGTGGAGTGGGGCGCGGCCAGCGAGAGTCGCGAGGGGGCAAGGATGCAGAGGGACCCTTGGGAAGGTTGCCCGTCCTTCTTGTGCGGGTTGACTGTAGCCGTGTGAAGTCTTGGTGCACACGTACCCAGAGATCCGATGTTGTGATCTTTTCCATGCGCGCCTCTGCGGAAGTTTCGACCCATCCACCGGGACCGGCTTTTCATCCTGAGTCGCTTTTTGACGCTCCCTGGGCCCGGCGAGGGCCCCTTGAGGCCGAAAAATCAGAAAAAGCTCCGTCTTGATTTTTTCAATGCGTTGGATCTCTGGGGATATACAGGATACCGAAGGTCGGCGTGCGCGCCTGGGGCCCTCCTGGCTGGCCGCCAAAAGGAGAGCGTGCATGCGCCCAAGGCCCGAGATCGGTGCAGGCTGTGCACCACAGCACACGCAGAGACGGCCAAGACTTCTTTGCCGTCAGCCCGTAGCACAAGGATGCGCGGGAAGGGTCGGACAAGCCCAGAGATCCAACGTATCGAATAAATCAGGACGGGAGGTTTTTCTCAACTTTCGGCTTCTATAACAGGAGCCCTCCCCGGGCCCCGGCGCCGTCAAAAAAAAGACCTGGGATGAAAAACCGGTCCTGGGGAAGGGGTCGAGTCTCCGCGGGACCGCGCATAGACAAAATCTCACGACATCGGATCTCTGGGAGTACGGGTTCTGCAGGAGGAGGCGGAGGAGGACAGGCGGGGAGATCCGGCTAAGAGCAAGGTGGCTGCAACGCACGCCGCGCGAGGCGGCGCGCGGGCCACAGTGCTTACTGTTCGGGCGGCACGCTGCGTTGAGGCCTCCCCTCGCCAAGCACTGCGTGCCGGCTTCGCAGACCTGGCGTGCCACCGGCAGGCGCGCCAGTGCTGGGAGATGTTTATCAAGCAATTGGAACCCATTTTTTATCCAAGGCAAGCTTTGTGAATTCAGAAGCCAGCTTTTTGAATTGAACAAGAGACAAGGAGAAAGATTATGAAGGAGGAGGGGTGATAGTGCAATTTGTTCCCCTCTGCGGCAAATCATGGCCTCATCGTCATGCGCTGCAAATCACCACAGCGGGACTGTGCCCTACAGCTGAACTGTGCCTGGAGAGGTTATAATGCAAAAGGGAATGAGGAAGACTATAGTCGGCCCGTATCAGAAAGATGCGCGATGAGGGTGCAAGGACTGTGGAAGGCCATGCCGACGCTTTGCAAGCGAGGCGCGGCCAGCGAAAGTCGCTAAGGATGGGCCGAGGGGGCAAGGATGCAAGGGTACCCTTGGGAACGTTGCCCGTCCTTGTTATGCGGGTTGACTGTAGCCGTATGAAGTCTTGGTGCTCTGCGAGGTGCTCTGAGAGGGATGCAGATGTGCCCCCCGGGGGCCCGGCTCCGGTGGGGCACCCGCTGACAAAGCCCGCCCCTCTGCTCGGTGTGGGCACCGCTGCAGCTGGCACCCTCCCCGCGGACCTCCCCGATCTCCTGCAGCAGCTCCCGCGCCTCCCGGCGACTCCGAAGCGTGTGGTCTGCACAGGGTGCGGGTTGCAACCGGCACCCTGGGGGGCACCCTGGGGGGCGGGCCGGGGACCTCGACAGAGTTCCCCGCCGCATCCCGAGGAGGCCCGACGAGGACCTCGCCATCGCTCGGACGTCCATTGCCCGTGCATGTTGCCGATTTCGCGCGTGCTGTTTGTGCCAGATGATCCAGGATGCTCCCCGATGGTCCTGGCCGAAGAAACATGCACACGCCCGTGCGATGCCAAGGGGCAGAGTCGTGTCCCTCAGGCCCCAACGGCGCCGATCGCAAACCACACCCTGGCGTAAACACTAAGACGAAGCCAGGACGAAGATAAAACCGGGTGAGGATACATCGAGACTTCCTGAGATCCGGCGGAAATTGAAGATGTCTCGGACGCTGCATCCTTCTCGGAGCGTTCCGGAACGCTCGCCCAGAACCTTCTGGAACGGATCTACATGCTCGTCCCAGCCCCGCCCGAACCACACCACCCCAACCGAACCCGAAGACCCAAATTTCGGGTTGGGGGGTAAGGGTCCCACATGAGTTTTTTCAATGTTCCCCGACGCCCACCCCACTGGAAGTGGAGGGCAACTTGAGGCCTTCGGGCTGGGTTGGGGTGGCTTGGTGGGTGGCGAAGAACGCTCCCCAGAGATCCGATGTCGTGATCTGTTCATCACGCGGTCCACCGAAGTCTCGACCTATTCCCCAGGACCGGTTCTTCACCCCGAGTCGGTCCTATAGACGGTCCCGGGGCCCAGCGAGGGCCCCCAGAAAGGCCGAAAATCGAAAAAAAAAAAAAAACACCCGCCGCCTTGGACTTCTTCCATGCGTGCGTTGTCGGCTACACGCAGGAGTGACCCTGGGTAAGAGTGACCTTTGGTGCGCGGCTTTTGGGGGCCGCGGGGGGGCCATACACAGGCGCGCAAGGCGCTACCATCGCATCGCGTTCGGCGATCGGGGGGCCCCAGGGGGCCCGCACCAAAGGGCACTCCGGCGAAAGGTCACTCTTACGTCTAATCAACGTTGGACCTCTGGGTTCATCTCCTACAGACGG